AATCACCAGCAAAAAAGGGCTCAGTCTGGCCATGCCACATGAAGGGCAAAAATGGGCAAGCTCATCGCAAGTGGAACATCCCCTGCACTTTCGCAGCTAAGACAGGTCGAATGTGCAGCTCATTCCAGGTAGTCATCCAACCACCAATATCAACTCTGTCTCTGCCTCTGGGTTTTTGATTTCTACCCTTGGATTGCACCTGGGAATGAGGCATTCTGGCAGTACTCAGAACTTGTCCAAATAACATAATTGCTGTTCTCACCCAGATTGATTCCGGAGCATGCTTGTTCATGGGTTCTTTTTGATCATCACGGATCTCATCCGAGTGTGTCGCTGTTCAGCCCTCGGAGACATGACCCATTGATCAACCTGCTGGAATTTCAGGGAGGTCTTCGCCCATTTCGTTGGGCTACGTTCCCAAGCTCCAAAGCCCACCTCACCATTCACAGACGGAAGAAATGGGGTCTCAAGCGTAGGCCTAGGTGACAAGTCACCATGGCCATGACTATCCATGCATCTCCGTTGCGCTGACTGAACACGATACGTTTCCCATGAACAGCTCCCTTGAAAAACGTGGAAAGCACATCGGCATTTTTTGACATCACGTCTGAGGTTGCAACCGTCATCAGCCTGAGTTTACTCAGGCCACGTGCGGATTAAAAAAAAGAAAACGAAAAAAGCTCTGCGCGTTTTGTTTTGGAGCCCGGAAGAGGTGGGAACCAATTGAAACCCAGAGTTTCCACTGTCCCAATGACCAAAGGCAACGATATTCTGAACTAACTCACCCTGACAGCCAAGCAAATTTGGCGCAATATTCAATTCTACGCCAGAGTGGATTCTAAGCAACACTATGCTGATAGGGGTAGCCTTCTGCATGACCCCTGATGCTTCACATTGATCAAAGCCAAGCTTATCGTATCAGGGGCTGAGTAAGAAGTAATTATTGTGTTGTTCCAGGGTTCCCGTAAAAATCACCCGATTCACAAGAAGGTCCTTCACATGAGTTGGTATACGTGATGTTCAACATATTTCCTTCTCTGTTGGCTGTCTCCGGTGGCTTCTACAGGTACGCCAATTCTTGCACGACAGCGCAGCTCGAAGCTGGCCTACGACATGACTGCTTGTAGGAGTGCAAGCTAGAATCATGACCTCTAATACAGGGGTCATGATTTTGACTGTTTCTGGGGTTATCAAAGTCCGAAACTGGGGTTGTTTCCTTCAACCAATCACGTTAGTGGTGACTTTGATAAAGGGAAAAAATGACGCAAGTAATACACAAAGCCCCGCAAACCCCCAACAGAGAAAACACACCCCAGCCCAGCACACAGCCGTGACTTTCGCCAGGCAAGGCCCCAGCAGCTTTGGTCACACCATGCTCCCAAGATTTGAACTGGACCTCTGCATAGGTGGCCCAAAAACGGAAAACTCGATGGGCAGTTTTTGGGCAAATGGGGCATACACCCCATCTAAATTCCAGTGGAACCCATCTATTCTTAACCAAACGAACCCTGAAAAGGACAGCTATGGACGTCCCTTTGCAGGTAGAAGGGCCACCCATCCAAAGCCACAACATGAGTTGACCCGCGGGGCCGTTTTGGAGTGGTCCGAGTCAAACCGCTCACAAACCACTCGGTTGATTTGTTGCTCCCCTAAAAGTTTAACTTTTAGTGGTTTAATGGAAGCCCCAGTAGTTGGCAAAAAGTTAAAATCCTAACATCCAAGCAACATGCACCAAAGACCAAATAGCCCTTGGGCTTCACTCAACTCGGACGGGATTCAAGAAAACGACCTGGTCCTTTTCGCATCTGTTGCTTGGCACAAACAAAACCCAAGAGGAAATCGACCGGGGAAAATACCGTGCTTGCACTGGAGTAGTCAAATTCAAGCACACTAAAACAAAGTGCATCAGCTGGTCAAGAGAGAAGCACGAGTCTGTACTTTGGGAACTGGACAGAAACGTGCGCTAGGCATAGGGATGTTGCTGCCACCCAATGGGTTTCAAGTTAACCCCCCCCAGGCAAAATGGTCAACAGCTCCCACACCTTCGGGGCTGTGGGGGGTAGAAGGTTCACCATTCCATCTGTTCGTCTTCCCAAAGGCAACACGGGCCCAATGGGCAAAGATCCGGGGCCGAGCACCATGACATCCACCTGGCACGCGAAAGATCCAATCCGGGAGGCTGCCCGAAGGCATGGCTCCCCTTCCGTCAGCTTGTTGGCTTGTGCAAACTGGAAGCCTTCAGCTTGAACTTTGGCTTGGAAAGCCCCAAAAAGGTCAACTGTTTGCTGGTGACGGAATTTGGAAGAGCACCCAAAAGGGTAAAACGGCAAAACGGTCAGTTTGAAGTCGGGCAAGTATGGCTGCGGTATCGATTCAGGGACCCAACTGGACACAGGAGCAAGATGCTAAACTGGGCTGGCCTTGCTGACCGGCGGTTCCTCACATGATAGGAATATACCTTTGTATTTATTATATGTATCTGGGGTTGATCAAAAGGTCCTTTACAGTGGGGGCCCAGAAAAATGGGTACGGTTTTTTTTGGATTTTTGTTGTCCGTTTATCGTCCGGGCCAGTAAAATGTCGTATTTTCTCGTGAAATTGACGCATTTTACACTAGCCCGTCAACATCCCCAGCATCGTGTTCAACATCCCCCGCATGTCCGACCAACATCCCTAGCATCACCAACAAATCGTGGGTAACACAATCAAAAAAGTAGCTGGAGGGTTGACGGGGTCAAAAAGATGATGATGTAAATAGGAGGGCATTTCAATCCCTGAAAAAAAAAAACACAAAAAACAACTAAAAAGTAGCGGGGGGGTTGGGGGGGGAGGACCCCCCCCCATTATGTTCGCAAAAGTGATGATTCGAATAGGGGTGCAATTAAATCTCTGCAAAAAGTCTAAAAAGTAGCGGGGGGGTTGGGGGGGGGGCGGCAGCCCCCCCCCATGATGTTCGAAGAATTGATGATTCAACTGGGGGTGCAATTAAATCTCGGTGGAAAATCTAAAACGTAGCGGGGGGGTTGGGGGTGGCGGCAGCCCTCCACATGATGTCGGAAGAAGTGATGGGGGTGCACTGATTCAAGAAAGGGTGCGACAGAACTTAAAAGGCAGCGGGCGGGGAAGCCAAAAAGCCAAGAATCCAAGAAACCAAAAGCGAAAAAACAATTCCAAAAAACAACGAAAACAAATCCTAAAATAAATACCCCTTCCCCGAAAATTGATACACCCCCTAAATGGCAAACTACAATAATCCAAAAAATCAGAACCGCCGAATTTACCCTTCTCTACGCCTAATCACAATGAGTAGTCCACTTAATCTTGTTCTGGCCGGCCATCTTCTTAATCCGCAATCGCGGATTAAAAGTGCAATTGTAAACCTTATTATGCTGGAGCATTAAAGACGCAAGCAACACAAAAATCCACAACCCATAAATCGCACAGTCCAATCCGCAAACCGCATCGCACAATCCGCAATTCGCTAATCTTTGGAGATCTGATTGTGCAGAAGATAGTTTAACCAAGCTCGGTTGACCGCCCAATTACAATTGAGCACGATAGAATCTGTGAGTAAATATAAATAAATAAATAAATAAATAAATAAATACATAAATAAATAAATATATATATGTATATATACAAACGAATGACGATAAATGACGCATTGTTGCCTACTGCGGCACCTCCAAACAAGGCCAAAACGGATTCGTCTGAAGAGATCTGGTGGCTCCCCGGGCTCCCCGTTTACTGGGCGGATTCCTCGGATTCGTCTGCTCCGGATGAAACACGAAGTGCGCAAGCCAAGCACATCACCGAACTCCCCGCAAAAACCAGCACACGACCCAGCCTCCAGCGCTATGAGGCTGCCAAAAAAAAGCGAGCGCTCTTTGGGGCGTGCTAGGAAGGCCTAAGCGACCTGCAAGTTGACATCGCTTGGCTGTCGCTTGGGCTTCTCTGGGCAGCTGAATGGCCGGCAGTCAGGTGGGGAATCACCTGAGTCATAATCCAAGAACCAGGCCAATGAACATAATGTTTATGGCCGGGATTTATCCCTGGCTAACCCTCTTCCCGAGTTTCGATTGTGGCTCGCCTTTTGGATGGTTGGAAAAAAAGAAAGGAACCCCACCACCGGGAGGGCCACACTTGCCTAAAGGCCTGTGATTGAGCCGAGAGGCGGCAAGATAGGGCGGGGCGGCCTCATATCTGACGCTGTCTTTGCTGATGTTGATGCTTGACAAAGAAAAAGAGAGAAAGAGAGAAAGAACAAACAACAGAAAGAAAGACAAAAATAAAGGAAGAAAGAAAGACAGAAAGAAAGAATCAAAGGAAAAAGAAAACAAAGAAAAAAATAAACAAGGAAGGAAGGAGGGAAGGAAGGAAGGAAGGAAGGAAAGAAGGAAGAAAAGAAAGAAAGAAAGAAAGAAAGAAAGAAAGAAAGAAAGAAAGAAAGAAAGAAAGAAAGAAAGAAAGAAACAACAGAAAGAAAGAAATAAATAAAATAAAGAAAGAAAGCAAGAAAGGAAGGTCTTGATCAAACTTGGTGTCTCTTTCTTCGAGAAGCCCCTTTGGGCGGTTCAAAAGGGAAAGAAAAGGACACCTGCCAGCTTTGGAGCTCCCCCCTTTTTTGAAGCCAACACAAATCTAGGTCGCAAGAAAATCTTAGGCCGATGTGCGTACACAAGCTTATGCCAGCACACAAGGGGCCTCTTATGAGCACTCTTGCAAGCAGACTGGTTTTGGAGCCTGCACATAGAATGCTGGGAGTGTGGCAGCCATGCAACCGCTGTGCAACAGTATCCCACAATAGCGGTACTCCCGTGCTCATCTTCAAGGAATCTCTTTTTTTGGAGGGGACCCCATGTTGGGTTCCATATGGGTGTGGCTCAAAATTACAGAGCTAGGGTTGCGCAGGTCCTAGTCTTTGGTTCCATTTAGCAAGGTGCTTTTTTGGTACATGTTTTTGACCCACAGCCCTTTGTGCTCCGAATTCAGGACTTTTTTGGCTCCTTGCAAGCATCATCTCCTGTCTCGCCCGTGACAGCGAAGGCCAGCCTGGCGACTGCCAGAATTCCGCCGGCTGAAGACCATGGGTTCCCGAAACGCGGGGATTTGGCCATGGGTCAAAACCCAAGAAAAGTGTCCCCAGTTTTCACATCCCAATCACTAAAATAGATTGAAATGGGTGCACCTATCCCAAAATGGGATCCCATTGGTTTTGAACCATGGCCATTTCCCGGAAAACGCAACCAAGAGTCAACTCCAAAAAACCAACCAAGCCACAGGTTGACGTGGCCCTCCCGTGTAAAGCAACCAAGAGTCCACTCCCGGGACTCTGATGGGCTCAGACTCGGAAGTATAAATCCGATGTTGTCTCTTGGCAAGCTTGCGCCATCTCCGGTGACCTCTACTCTTCCATTCAGGTCGTCCCTTGGTGCTAAACTAGGTCATCCAGTAGAGAGGTTAGAATAAGGGTACCTACCTTTTTTTTTTCTGTAGTCTCATCCCCAAAAAAAGTTGGTACAAGGGCACCTGTTGGGGGACCTAGTAAACAGGGGGTTTTGGGAGTTCGCTTTAGACTTCACCAGGGATCCTTACATTATACACCTAAACATTGCCTTGTAAATGGTGGTTTCCCTTTATTTTGGTGGAAAACACAACATGTTTCAATTGGGCAAAATGTATCTTTAAGGAGCCCTGTTCACCCATCCCTTTTTTGGGGGGGGTTTCAATTCTCTCGACAAAAATATCTCGGCGATTCGCCCCCTATTCGACCTCTGCGCCACTCGCCGCCAGTTCTGCACTGCCGAAATCAGCTCCTCGAATGAGCCGCGGAAGAAAAGCAGATCCGTTCACCACACCGCTGGGACACCAATAAAGTACGGGGTTTAAACGGGTTGTGGCTTTTTGGGGTGAAAGAGGTTTATAGAGTGTAGGTCCTCCAGATTTGAGAGGTTAGAATAAGTTGGTACCCTTTCTTTTCTCTTTTTGTCTATTGTAGTAGGGGAACCCTCCCCCCCAAAAAGGGGAGAGAAGGGCACTACTGTGGAACACCACTACGAGGAAACCACTAGAATCTGATCACGCATTGAGTTGGAACAATCTGGTAGAACAAATCGGTCGCCCCCAGCCGCGCCCAATTTGTGGAGAAGTTCAGCCCAAGGCAGCCCTACAATGCACTAACCAGAATTCAGGAACTTCTAGGTTGATCCTTTCAGGCCAACGCCAACGCATCTTGATCTTCAAGAAGTCACCCAACACTGATGTAAGAACCCACCAAGTCAGGACCTTCTTTTCTGGGCTTGCTATTGCCATTGCGACAGAGTCTCAAAGTGGATGACAACTGAATCAGTCTTCTAGTGGACTCCCTGCTCAAAAGAGAGCCAACGACCTGGTCGCACTTTGAAGAGAAACCCATACGGGCCCCAAGGTTTTAATGGGATGCGCAGCCACTATATAGCCTCTACAGGTATAAGAATATGTATGTATATATATATATATATATGTGCTGTATTACGAATATGTTGGGGCCTGATTCATCCCCCCGATTAGAGCTAACCTCCTCCCCCTTTGAGTTCCCTCAGCGAGGCTATTGTCCATTTCAGAGAAGGTTGCACAATTCAATCAGTTGTTTTTTGGTTGTTCACCCCGCTGCTTAGTGCTAAAATCCAAAACATGAAAATACATAAGTCTACATTACAAAGCTACTTCTTTCGTACAGCTCCAAGAATTGCCATAACAATATTTAACATGTTCATCTCCAGAAACAGCAAACTTATTGCTGCAGTTTGCTTAACAAATCAAGGTCCGACAAGCTTACAAAGGACCCCTTCAAGGGACAGTCCCCCCAATCAAAAACACCCCCTGGTCAATCATTAGCTGTCCTTTTAACCTATTGCAGCCCTTGACAGGGAGAGCACCGCAAAGGACCCAAGAGATTGGGAGGAAAGTCCAGCTGGACCCTCCGAAAAGTCTGCACTAGACCTTGACGACCTGAGGAGCTACCGAGTGGATGGGCCAAAAATGGTGCAAGCTGTACCACTCAACGGGGCTTCCCAAAAAGAGACCGAAGTCCAGGAACTCAGCGAGTGAGTCATGAGAAAGAAAAAAAACGCTTTCCCCTGGAAGCTCAGATTTGGCCTCTCACTTCGTCCTCCATTTGCTTAAGCCTTCTGGACAAAACGAACATATTCCCAGTAGTGATAGACTCCCTTTAGAACCAACAAGGGAAAAGTAAAAATAATTTCCATATGTTCCATATATTTCTTTAACAAACTAATTTCCAACATGAATCCATCAAAAAATGGAAGACGTCCCACTAAGCAAATCCGAACGTCTTCCTCTCCAGTGCCCAGCTCCTCGTCGTTGAAGGCCCGCATCTTGGCCGAGGCGTCATGCAGCGCCTCCCACCGAACCACGGCCGGTCTCTAAAGGGAGTGGAACCAGTCACCAGTGGGTCGGTAGGCGGGGGAACTTCCTCAGCTTTTTGATCCACCAACAAGAAAATGTGTGGATGGACGAAATCCATTTCGCACCACTTTGCAACCCTGGCTAAAACCATGGTTCGCGGCTATTTACAGGGAAAACATCATTCCAGGATTTCTTAGGTGGTACAGGGTTTCGTCCATCCGCAGTATGTGCGATTCTGACCCATAGTCTCGCTTGCCCCAACCCACCTGGAATGAAAGGGTGATCACCTTCTGGAACCTTGACGAAATATGGACCAAATCAGCTGAAACCAATAAAAGGTGAAAAGGTCGGCTTTGGGCAACTCCAAAGTTTTCCTTACAAGCAAGTGCATGCCGGATTATCCCAATGAGTGCTTCTCAAAATGATGGATCTTTTGGCTGTCCGGATCCAAGTGCAAAGCTGATGGGCACGCCTATAACATTGTCATCGTTGCTCGACCAAATGAATCCTAGAACCACGTGACGCTGAGGGTCTCTTGGAAACTGCTGTCTAAGGCTTCTGTCCAAAACCCAGGCGCTCGCTTGGTACTTCGGGTTTTTTTCCGCAAACAACTCTATAGAGGAACCCAAGAGAAAGCCCATGGCTGTAGGAACCCAAAGGCTACCCCCAAAAAGCAGGAACCCGGTAGACCCCAAAACTGTGTGGATTAATGAAAGACTGGGAAGTATAGGAAGCCTCCCAAGCCCAAGCCTTCCAACCAGGCCGTGGGTGACGGGGCCTTGAGTCAAGGGTACCCCCGTTTGACTGGGGTTCAACTGACCCGTTGCCAGGTCTCCATGGTGGCGGACATATGTCTAGGTAGCCTCAAGTTGATCAAGTTGTCTAGGTAGCCCCAAATGCACAAACATATTCCCAAATACACAAACATATTCCCAAATACACAAACATATTCCCAAATATCGAACTCGGAGTATTCAACCGGGTATAAGAAGCAAGCCTTGCGTACTGATTCGGATTCCATCGGATTCCTCGGCGTCCATGAGCTGAAGAAAGAGGTCCGGCACCCCCTGGAAGTAGAAGACCTGCCAAAACTGGGTTTCCGATGCTTCTGGTGCTTCCAGCCATCTGGGCTGTCCGTTTTCAGATCCCCTGAAAGTGAACTGGTGGGTCAATGAAAACCCAACCACTAAACCGACGACCTAAGTTTTCTAAGGAACCAGATGGCTGGTTGAACCACCAAGGCACCGAAGGTCCGAAAGGCCCAAAAAACCTCCGGAGGCGCGGCTCGAGAAAAACTGTTCAGCGCTTCGCCTGGGGCAGCATGGCCCAGTCGCTGAAGGTGGACCACTCCAGGGCCTCGGGGGGGCGTCTTTCTTGGAGTTGGTATTTCTTGTTTGATGGGTGGCTCAAGGAAACCCACGTAATTATGTTGTCTCTTTGTTGGTACTCTTCTTTTTTGAAGGAAACCAAAACCACAAAAGAAAAAAACAAAAACTTTTTGGTTGCTTGATTTTGAAGGGGCAAAATAAAACAAACAAAAAACAACGGCGCTGGAGGTCTGCGGTGCATGGACCATCTGCCGAGAAATGCGCTTTGCCCAACACCACAACCCCGCCTGCTCCACGCCCATGGGACGATGGATCGACGCGTAGAAGGGCGAGCTGCGGGGCCGAGAGACATCCTCGTCGGCGCCTGGGTGCCTGCCAAGCGGAGGTACGTGACCTGACCTACTGATGGAGAAAATCCATTTCGCACCACTGAAGAACTCGTGGAGTGAAGCTCCCTGCAACAACCAGAGAGCAAGTCTCAAACGGCGAAGTTTTGCAGGACTTCATTGTATTGTCAATTGAGTAAAGGATCAAGATGGTTTTTCAGCTAGACTTACTTTTACTGTCAGGATCAAGTTGTGAGAGAGTTGCCACAAGTTGACCCTCAAGATAACTCTGTTGACCCCTGTGGACCAGAATGTTCGGTGTTCAAGGTGACCTTGGCTTCTAACTTCCCTGGTTGATAATGAAGAGACACTGGGGACAGTTTTTTTTGGCCCCCAGCCCCAGACAGGTATGAACAGAACGGAAAAACCTACTACCTCCCTGTTGCTGTACGACTCAATGGGCACCTATCTGTGACCAAACATCGCGCGACGTGAGAGCCACCAAACTGTGGACATATCGATTGGCATCAATGATGCGCAAAGCACATGTGCGAAACTTGCTACAGTTGCCACACACACGCACACACACACACACACTGAGTGCTCATCGGTGAGCTCGGTTTACAGCGACCCCCTCCCTCCCCCCAGCTCGTCATGATCGTACAGAGATAGTTGCAAACACAACATGGTAAAAATATTAGATGTAAATCACGCATCTTGACACGGGGAAAGCCCAAAGAAAACTACCGCAACGTTCCCTATGTCCTGCAAGAAGCCCAAAACAAACCAGCCGCACGCGATTTATTGCTTGTGAGGATATTCAATTAAAAAAGAATACATAGAGCCTGACATGTGGCGCATGGATAGACCGACCTGCAGGTGGCTTGTCCAAAAAGTTGCTATGACGGCAATGGCAACCAGCTGGGCCGCTAGGCACGGGCCTCGGGTTTACCCTCAAAAGTTGCTGGGTGCGTGGGGCCCTTTATGTTCAACGTGGCTCCAAAGACCCTGGCACAAAAGGTTTCAATATTGGTCCCTGGCAAAAGGAAAACCAAGGGAAACCAATCCTTGTGGTTTGGTTTCATCTTTTAAAGGCTCGGACACCCGAGTCCACTGTTTGTTGATTGTTGTCTTTCCCAACGGGCCAGTGTTTGGGAGATTTGCACCAGTCTCCTGAGCCGTTGCCAGGTACCCCCACATGGGTGAATTGGACCCCTGATTTTCTTTAAACAGGTGATTACCCTCACAATCCAACCACACCTGCAGGGGATCCCTGCATTTTGTCACATCTTCCCTTCTAAACCAAGCTTTAAAATAGGTAATTACCCTCAAAACTCCAACCACACCTGAACAATCAAGGGGCTTTTGTATTTCCGTGAAGGTCATTCCCCTTGGTTTTTGTGGCTGGAGTTTTGCCCTTTCCCAACATACTGTAATTACCTTTGATGTTTGTAGTTTCAACAGGGATCCTTACATTATACACTTGAACATTGCCTTGTAAATGGTGGTTTCCCTTTATTCTGGTGGAAAATGCCATGTTTCAATTGGGCAACATGTATCTTTTAAGGAGCCCTGTTCAAGCCACCGCACAGGGCAAGGCAGCCCTCGGAGCGCCTGAACTCCATCTGCGGAGAGGTGTGGGGGCCGATCAGCCATCTCCAAAGGTCCTTTCGAGTCGGCTTGGTCTCCCCATTTCAGCCAAGCTGAAAAGGGTGCCGAGACTCAAAACACATCAAAACACATAATATATACCTGGAGTCTCAAACCACCCCAAATTTTTGGGGCAAAATGTAAAGAATGGCATTCTTTGTCGAAACACCTTTTCTTGAACAAAACACATTTTTTTGGTTCTGTGCCAAGTAAAGCCCTGAAAGTCCATCAGCGGATTTGTTTAACGGTGTTGTCACGATAAGCGGTGTTCTTTGGGCCGTTGCTGTTCACTGTGCAGGGCTTGCTTGAAAGATGCAAGTGCCAATTCAAGCAGCGGCGCGCGGACCTTGCTGTCACCCAATGTAAAACCTCCTGGTTCAGCTCAGCTGCTCAATGCCTTTGATGTTGGAATGAACTAAATCATCAAACATAATTTTGACCTTGGCCCAAACGGATTGAATGCCAACGCAACACAAGGGAAAACAAAAGCCGCGTTATTAGCCTTGCATTTATGTGTGAGACAAAGCACAAGTTGAGAAGGCTGCCCCGTTGCGTGTTGTTTAGCATTGGAGCCGATCACTGAGTCGCAAAGCATCCAAGTCAGGTGTTTCCTTTGGAAGCGAGCAGGTGGCTTGGTGCACCACAACTCAAACTGATGTTTAGGAGGGCGCTGCGACAATGCAAAGAACCGACATCACTTAAACAGGAGTTAGACATTTCGAGTTGTTTCTTCTAGTGTGTGCGGTGTGCTTTGCGCGGCACACATCACAAACGGTTTGTCATGGCAAAACCCGGTCTTCGTCTTCTAGTGGCTTGAAACAGTGTGTCATGCGCAGTTCACCGCATGTTCATGTAATGTCACCCTACTTTCACGACAGTAGAGTCCAAGAAGGTACAATTTCAATGAACAAATATTGTCGCACCAAATTCAGAAGGATAGCTTTCGCAGATTTTGTAGCAGCGCGATGGGAGTGATTCCGTATTTGTCCACAGCTCTGTGCCCTTGGGCCATGTGCCCAAAGTTGTTTCAATCTACAAACAACACAAGAAACATCTCAATTAAGCATAATGTACAATACTTTGCAAATTCGGGTATGTTCAGTTTCACCATGCCTCCTAGATGATCAAGTTCACATGTTGCTTCAACTCTTCAACTGTGGTTCTCTGGCTAATGCGACTCAGCGCAACATGTACCAGTTGCCCTTAAAGTTGATGCCGTGAAGCAAGCATATTGCTTTTAAGCTTTGCTCACAGCGCTAAACTGCCCCAAGACCCTCACTGTTACAGCCAAAGGGTCGAGTATTTATATGATAACAGGCAAGCTTGCAAGGCATGCTACAGTATTCTGCGAACAATAGCTGTCACTGGCAATTGAATGGTCGTTCCGTAACGTCCACCTAGGATTAAACATTGCACCTGGAATAAAGACAAATGGGTGGCTCCCCCAAAAATGCACCTGGAATAAAGACAAGCACCCGCCACCCCCGCCCAAATGTTCTGAACGAAAAGTATAAGAAACATGACGAAATGGACCAAACAGAGAAAGAAGAGAAGAGGTAGCCAAGCCAACACCTGGTCCTTAGATCTTTGGCACCTTGTTCTTCAGCTCCCCAAAAATCAAACTGTCCAGCTGCCCAAGAAGTCATGGTTTCTTACATGTCTCTTGTTTAAAAACTGCCCGCAATCAAACCTGCAAAGGGGGTGGGTAGTACTTCAGGCCCCCAAACTTGAGCCCAAGACTTGATTTCAGGGGCCCCTACAATAAAGTCTTGTTGTCTGGCCCCCTGCAAATATACAACTAGCCCAGTGTAACTACCTATGAAGCTTCGGGCTTTGTTGTTAGATTTGGGCCTGCTTCCCAAAATCAAACATGTCCAGCTTCCCCAAGCTCTTGTTTTCTTGCATGTCTCTTGTATAAAAACTGCCTACAACCAAACCCACAAACAACCTAGTACTTCAGAAACTTCACCCCCAATTTGACATTATTTCAACGGCCTCTGAAATCAATTCTTGTTGCCTGCCCGCGGCTGCCCGCGTCCAAAAAAGTATCAAAAGGAAGCTCCAGCAATACAAAAAAGGAAGCTCCAGCAATGCAAAGTCAAATAGCAACTCAATTCCAAATCTCAAAAGGAAGCTCCAATGCTAAATCAAATGGAAACTCAATTCCAGATCTCAAAAGGAAGCTCCAGCAAGGCTAAATCTTATGGAAACTCAGTTCCAAATCTCAAAAGGAAGCTTCAGGAATGCTAAATCAAATGGACACTCAAATACAAATCTCAAAAGGAAGCTCCAGCAATACTAAGTCAAATGGAAACTCAATTCCAAATCTCTAAATCAATCAGAAACTCAAATACAAATCTCAAAAGGAAGCTCCAGCAATACTAAATCAAATGGAAATTCAAGTCTAATTACCAATACTAAAGCAAATGGAAGCAACATTGAACTGGATCTCAAGAAATTATTCTAGGCACCCCCTTTGTTGGGGTGGGGGAGGGCCCCCCCTTTACTAATCCCAGGTGGACATTTCTCCGCACAAAGACCATTTACAGGACATTGCTGCGAACATAGTTCGGATAGGTGGACAGGGTCCGGGCGGGCGGACGCGTCCGGACGCGTCCGGACGAGAAAAACATACAAAAAGCCTTTTCTATTTAAAACACCTTTTTTGTTTTGGGCGTCCAGCGGGGCGTCCGAAAAGGCGTATTTAGGCGTCCAAAAGGCGTATTTAAGCGTCCGTCCCGGACTAGTCCGAACCAAAACACCTTTTTTTTGAAAAAAACAGTTTTTTTGATAGTCCGGGCCCGTCCGGACCTATCCACCCGTCCGGACCCGTCCGGGCCGTCCAACCGGTCCGGCGAACCCTGTCCACCTATCCGGACTATGTTCGGAGTAATGTCCTTTAAATGGTCTTTGTTCGGAGTAATGTCCGCCTGGGAGTAGTAAAGGGGGGGCCCTCTCCCCCCCAACAAAGGGGGTGCCTAGAATAATTTCTTGAGATCCAGTTCAATTTTGCTTCCATTTGCTTTAGTATTGGTAGGCTTAAGTTTCCATTTAATTTAGTATTGCTAGAGCTTCCTTTTGAGATCTGGAATGGAGTTTCGATTTGATTTAGTATTGCTGCAGCTTCCTTTTGAGATCTGGAACTGAGTTTCCATTTGATTTAGCATTGCTGGAGCTTCCTTTGAGATTTGGAAATTGGTTCCATTCGACTTAGCATTGCTGGAGCTTCCTTTTGAGATCTGGAACTGAGTTTCCATAAGATTTAGTATTGCTGGAGCTTCCTTACAACAAAGCCCGGAGCTTCATAGGTAGTTGCGCTGGGCTAGTTGTATATTTGCAGGGGGCCAGACAACAAGACTTTATTGTAGGGGCCCCCGAAATAAAGTCTTGGGCTCAAGTTTGGGGGCCTGAAGCACTACCCACCCCCTTTGCAGGTTTGATTGCGGGCAGTTTTTAAACAAGAGACATGTAAGAAACCATGACTTCTTGGGCAGCTGGACAGTTTGATTTTTGGGGAGCTGAAGAACAAGGTACCAAAGACCTAAGGACCAGGTGTTGGCTTGGCTACATCTCCTCTTCTTTCTCTTTTTGTCCATTTTGTCATGTTTCTTATACTTTTCGTTCAGAACATTTGGGCGGGGGTGGCGGGTGCTTGTCTTTGTTCCAGGTGCAATGTTTTTATTCTAGGTGGACGTTACGGAACGACCATTCAATTGCCAGTGGCAGCTATTGTTCGCAGAATACTGAGCTTACGGAACGACCATTCAATTGCTAGTGACAGCTACTGTTCGCAGAATGGCAGGTGTTGCAAGCTTGCCTGCTATCATATAAAGACTGGACCCTTTGGCTGTATGCTTGCTTCAGGACATCAACTTTAAGGGCAACTGGTACATGTTGCGCTGAGTCGCATTAGCCAGAGAACCACCGTTGAAGCAACATGTGAACTTGATCATCTAGGAGGCATGGTGAAACAGAACATACATCATGCTTAATTGAGATGTTTCTTGTGTTGTTTGTAGATTGAAACAACTTTGGGCACATGGCCCAAGGGCACAGAGCTGTGGACAAATGCGGAATCACTCCCATCGCGCTGCTACAAAATCTGCGAAAGCTATCCTTCTCAATTTGTTGCGACAATATTTGTTCATTGAACTTATACCTTCTTGGACTCTACTGTCGTGAAAGTAGAGTGACATTACATGAGCATGCGGTGAACTGCGCATGGCACACTGTTTCAAGCCATTAGAAGATTGGGTTTTGCCATGAAAGACCGTTTGTGATGTGTGCCGCGCAAAGCACACCGCACACACTAGAAGAAACAACTCGAAATGTCTAACTCCTGTTTTAAGGGATGTTGGTTCTTTGCATTGTCGCAGCGCCCTCCTAAACATCAGTTTGAGTTTTGGTGCACCAAGCCACCTGCTCGCTTCCAAAGGAAACCTGGTTTGGATGCCTTGCGGCTCAGTGATCGGCTCCAACACTAGGCAGCACGCAACGGCGCAGCCTTCTTAACTTGTGCAACTCACAAATGCTTTTCTCGCACAAAAATGCAGGGCTAATATCGCGGCTTTTGTTTTCCCTTGTGTTGTGTTGGCATTCAAGCTGTGTGGGCCAAGGTCAAATTATGTTTGATGATTTCTTCCATGCCAACATCAAAGGCATTGCGCAGCTGAGCTGAACCTGGAGGTTTGACATTGGGTGACAGCAAGGTCCGCGCCGCTGCTTGACTTGGCACTTGTATCTTTCAAGCAAGCCCTGCGCAGTGAACAACAACGTTGTTAACTCAAACAAGTTAAACACACCGCTAGAGAAATTGCAGGGTTGACAAAGCAGCGCGTGGAAAAACAAAAACACCCAAACATGGAACTAACACCCCCAAAAAATGACAAAACACCCCAAAAATGAATGCAACACAGCACCACCCCAAAAACGAAGGGTGATTGAGGGTCCAGGTATATATATATATATGTATATTAAGATAAACACATATTACAATAAAACTATTACTAACAATGTATATAATATGGTCATATATACATATATATATATATATATATCTATATACACAATATCTGTCCCGGAGTTTCTGCGCTCGTTCTCCACTTGCCCAGTAAGAATGGACCCAGTTCCCACCTCATTGATAAGGATTTTCGAACCTGTCAGGCTCCATGTTGGGGCTCGGCAAGCGTGCGAGGTGACGACGTGCGCGAGCGCTCCTTCGGCACAAAGAGGGGCATGTTTGCCGAGTACAGCTCGTGGAAGAGGAAGATGGTGATGTCCTGGGCGAAAACAGGGTAGCAAAATAGGAAAGCATCTGTCCCGGTACTTCCCCCCCCCCCAAAGATCCTCATTGCTCGTTGGTTTGTGGCTCAATTGGCTATTCCATGCGCTGTTTCTCATATGAAGGCCTGCCTGGTATTCAACGGCCGCAAAACATGTGCCATGCTCACAACGGGCGATCGATGGTTCCCGTACATCATGGGCCAAGCTCGTCTTAGACCCAGCTCATCGTTGCTCAGAATCAAAGAGCATGACTTGAAGACCTGAGGCAACATCGCAACATGCTCCTCATAGCATCCTGCACGGAGCACTTGTTTTGCCCAAAGGACCTGGAATTAAAAGGTTCACCTTAAACCTTGACCAAATGGCAAATATGGCCCAAATCAGGGAAACAATAGGCGAGATCCGCTCGATTCGCTTTGATTGCAACTGATACGCCAGCTGGGGTGTCTGATTTCTCAAGCCCAGCTTCGTAGGGCAGGCAAATGGCCGCTCGATGCGAGACCAGCTTGGCGTATGGCATGCCCGGCACCTGCGGGGCGCAGGTTCGAAGACGGCCCCTCGACCCGGGGTGGCACACAGGTTCCTGAGTGCCCTGTGCGCTGAAGTTGGAAGTTGGGCTTTTTGGGTCCAGCGATTTGGCACTTGCCCCAACCACCCTTCTGATAGAAGACCTATAGAGCCATGTCCTTGTGGGTGGGAAGGCCTTTGAGTGGCGTCCGAAGCCGCCAAACCAAAATGCGTGCTGCAGAAGAACTCGGAGATGTTCCTTAGAACCCAATTCAGCTCACGAACCGTCTGGGTACTGGTATCACGAAACTGCTTAAACGCCCTTCAACCAGAGAAAGCTGGGCGGTAATGAGCCCAGCAAGACCTGATGCGTATATAGATCTTTAATTCCATGCACGTGTTTGGTGCCTCTCACAAATAAGGCGTGTTCACAAGTTAGTAAGCGATTAACCTGCTCATATACTTCTAGTCCCCATATTAGATATACTTACAAGTCCCCTAAGTCGAGATGTCCCGGGTGCAAGGCCGAACACCCAAAATATGTGATTTGCATAGAGTCCAAGGCTGGTAAAGAATACCCCTGACCGCCAAACCTTATCATTCGAGTCGTTTCTTGGGGTCGACAGCCTTCACCAGCTTAGGTCCAAGGAGCGACCAACATGGGTGTGTCTTTTTGCTCAAGGTACCCCTCTTTGGATGGTTTAAAGGGGAAACCAAAGGAACACCTTCTTTTTTGGGGGGGAGACCATCGCTGCGTCGGCACCTTGATCTCCGCCGTGTGATCCTTCCAGCTCTTAGCGTTGCCATAGGCCTCGCTCTGCGTTCGAGCCTCGGCATGCGTTGAAATGGGTCGAACGTGCGACTGTCGGTTGGCTTCGCTTTGGGATCCTCGGTCAAACCAGAGATCCCAGAAATGTTCCGCTTTCAGCAACCTCCAACAAGTATGGCTTGGTGACAGATCCCGAAATTGGCCAAGGACCCATTCACTTCTGCACCACATCCCAGGACCCGCAATCTGGACACAGACCCTGCCGATCCAAGCCTTTATGGACTACGTAGCCTCACTATCATTTTTGCTCCAAGCCTTTTGCCTTGAAAAGCTCCTGGACGGCCACAGCCCCAGCCGCGCTACGCGCCACTTTTGTCACGCGCATTCGCTGCTTCGCGTCTGACCTCCGCGTGCAGATCGAGGTCCGTGCCGGTGGCATTCCTTCCGCGTGCCCTCAGGGCGAAGGCTGGGACTCGGTGAAGAGAAGTTCCAACAGGCTGATCGAACCGTATTGCCTTTGGAGGGGCCAACCAATGGATCGACACATCATGGACGACAAATTCCAAGGTGAGCGATTCATAATCGATTGAACCGTTGAACTATGTTGAAAGTGGAAGGGGGCAAGCTGATGGATAAATTTTGTAGATACGTGATAGACGAATACACAATTGCTTGAGTCATACTTTATCGTGCGGCCGTTTTCGAGTGGGACAACAAGGACCAGCTCACATTGGAGGCTCTATCAGCATGTGGGCAAATCCAAACATTTAGTTCTGCCCAAACATCTACAGACTACAACAACCCATAAACGCCTACATTCAACAGTCAACACCAAATCTTGACCTACCTCCAAATATGTATATATATATATCTGTATATATATATATGTATATGTATATATTCACCCTTCAGGCAAGTTGCTTCGGTCAGGTCACTGGTGGCTTCAAGGGAGCCCAGCGGCAGTGAGCCAAAACTGCGGTCGGATTTCCAGAAGACAAGGCTGGGGCCTGCTAATGGTCTGAGTTGACCATCGGGCTCGGAAGAAACGGAAAATCGAACGGGTGGACAAGAAACGGTTGTGTTGTGTGTGTGTGTCACACCACCCACCAAAAAAGGGTACCTGGACCCTCGAACATGGGCGATTGCAAGCCAAAACGACGGCCGAATCTTTTTTTTTTTTTTCCGGGTATGCATTTCTTTCGGGTCCAGGTATTGCTAATATTCTAACCCAAGCCATATCGCGCCTACAACTTGATGGTCTCCATCTCCAAGACCTCCTTCTGGTACCTGGGACTCGGCTGTTGCCAGGTTTTAACTTCGTGGACCCGCCAAGAACAGATGAGGGCATGAACCATTTGGCCGTGGCTCAAAAAAATGGTACCCCAAACGGAACCCTGGCCAGTGGAAACATGGGCCAAAACCTGCGGTTAGCCCCTCCTGTTTAATTTTGAGCCACAGCCATTTACACAATCACTGCAGAAGTTGCGCTGTCGCTTTTTTCCGCACCGGGTGTCTTGGGAAACCTTCTTAAGGCTGATGACAGTCACATGCCGAAAGCGCAGGGCTCCTTCCGGGCTGTGGGAAAGGTGATGACTTTGCCACAGCCCACAATCCCCATGGCCTCTTTCAAGGTGATCATTCAATCCATGCCACTTGAAATCCACGGTATTGCAGAAATATCAGAATCACCTTTGGGGACGTCGTCCACGGCTAAGAAGCGATCCAAAAGCGGATTCGAAAGGATAAACAAAGCTCCCTACGTGTCCTGACCCCGAGGGAAGCTCAATTCAAATTGGCCCAGGCGATATTCAAACAACCCGAAGTGTGGCTTAGTAGACAGGACCCCTCTCAAAAGGGTCGGCTTTGGTGTTCCTTCGAAGTGTGCAGGGTTGGGCCACCCCTTTGCTGAAACGAAAAACAACTGCTATGGTTTTGGCTTGCCTTTCAAGGGGGTCCCTGGAGGTTGGTGGGTTGAACAAAAATATCAGAAGTGTTGCTGAGAGACAACCCCAGTTAGCACCCAGGCTTGGGAAACGAGTTGTTGCAATGGCTGTGGCCAGCATGTGCGTGATGCTTTCGCCACCCCTGAAGTCAGGTTTGGGGTCCCTGTGGAAATCCATGTTGCACCGTTCAGAAACAGTTCAACGGTTACGCGACATGGATCTCGCAACCATCCAAGGTAGGGAACACTACTCTGCCAGGCCACCCGCGGATCTGCAAGGACGGGACCTGCTTCGCCAGCTCTGCCTCCGCGATCGCCGCAAGGCGGAGGCCCTGGTTCTCCACGCAGAGTCCTGGCGAGCCGAAGCCGGAACCACTCAAAATGGGTGGGTGGGTGGGTGGGTGGGTGGGTGGGTGGGTGGGTGGGTGGGTGGGTGGGTGGGTGGGTGGGTGGGTGGGTGGGTGGGTGGGTGGGTGGGTGGGTGGGTGGGTGGGTGGGTGGGTGGGTGGGTGGGTGGGTGGGTGGGTGGGTGGGTGGGTGGGTGGGTGGGTGGGTGGGTGGGTGGGTGGTACCCATTTCATAATTCCCTTACACATATAACCCACTAGGGGATATGAACCAGTCTCTCATTGGACGGTCATCCAAGTAGAGTCCTGAACTGAACATGGGTGTCCTTCTGGTAAAATAGATGGTCCTGGTAAAATGGATAAAACGATTTCTAATTGAACTCACCTAAAAGGGACACCTATGACTCCAAAGATTCATCAGTTGCTCAAGGTCTGTGGTCATGAAACGCTCTGACAATGCGGGTAGCCTGATCTCCCGGGTCCTGTGGCTCTGCCAGAGCCCGACAACCACAAAGCGCCATCCAGCTTCAGGCCATCCAAGATCACCTAAGGACTTGATGGCTGAGCCATGGTCAAAAAGGAATTGTTGATGAGTCCCCAAAAAAATGACAACATGACGTGTTTCAATAATATTTTGATGAGCCTGCCTCCCCCCCCAAAAAAAAAGGAGGACAAAATGGACATTGGGTGAGTCCCCGGGAGTTTTGTGATGGTCGAAGCGTAGGGCTTCTCGAAGCCAGGGTATTTGTGCGAAGTTCCGTGAGTCCCCCCCTCTGCTTTTCCCAAATGCCAAATGGACCTTAGATTTGCTGGACATATCGACCGAACGTCACACATTTTTTGTTTTTTTTCGTGCAGTTGTTGAGACCCTCCACTAACGTGGAACCTGTTGGGAAACGGGGAAAGTGAAGCCGTTGTGGGTGGCTGGTCTTTTTTGGAGTTGGTCCTCTTTTTCGCGAGAAACCACAAGGACAACCACATATTGATTTCTGCTTTTGTATGGCGAGTCCCCTCAAAAACAGCTCACCCATGTGTGTTTTGCGGGCCCAGGAATCCTGGAGGTCGTTTCACAAGCCATCCGACTCGGTTACAAAAAGGCAGGGAACACCTGGGGAGTGAGTAGGATGAATGGAAGAAATGCCGCTGCTATGCGTCTAGGGCACGTCACCCTCAAGGATCAACGTGGAGCGCTTCGAAATCACGATCCTGGCGCAAAGTGCTCAACGCACCTATGACTTCCAGGACCCAAGCGACGACCGTCAAAGAACCCCAAGGCCCAAAGAAGTCTTCGAAACCGTGGTTCCTTCAAAAAAATACGAGTGCGTTCCAGGTTCCATGTGGCCATGGGTCAAAAGCCCGTACCCCCAGTAAACATCCCAATCCCCACTAAAATGGACTAAAATGGGTGGTGCACCTACCCCAAAATGGTACCATTAATTTTGACCCACAGCCATGTGAGTTGTTAGTGCACGCGACCTACTTGGGCGCTCAAGCAGTGCTCATCGGAGGTTCTGGTGTCGAATAAATCTCCGTGCGATTCCATGAAAGCTCCCCCTTTTGAGGACAAACAAGTTCCATTCACCTCCTTTTGCTTCAGTCCCCTGAAAAAAAAACAACAACATAATTCCAGTAGTGATAGATTCCCTTTAAAAACCAACAGGGGAGAAGAACACATTAAGATCGACGTTCACAGCAGCCTTCGTTTTCACTTCATCACGCCTAAGGGAGGGCTGAGAAAACGGTGGGACCGGAATCCCCAACAGACCTTCGAAGCATTTCGGCGCACAATATGGGTGTCACAATCAGCATTCCATAGCGGTACATGTCCAAAACAGCAGACACGTTGAGACTCTTCGGACCTTTGCCAAGTGGAGAAGCCTCAAAACGATTGCCAACTCAACGGACGACACCTGAATGGTGTTTCCTTCAAGATCGGGTTGGGAAACCCTTCAACGATTAAACCGACCAGGGGAAACAGCAGGGCCCCCGTTCCAGAAAGATAGTTGTCAACGCCATAGGTGTCTTTTTGTTTCCGGAAAATAAATGGCCCTGGTAGTTGACTGAACCTCTAGGTAAACCAGGGCCCTCTATGTTTCGACCAAATCAACCAAAAAAGGACACCTATATGGTCAACGCACAAATATGAGCCTCACCATACTCCCAATTTACACCAGGGTGCAAGGAGATGGCACAATGCCCTTTAAGTCGGGCAAGCAAAAATGGGGAAACTGTGCCAGGCACTCTCACCCAACTGCAACCCTCCCACCGGCAAACGTGGCCCGCTCAATCGGTGCTTAGTCAAAATGCCCTAGTGGTAGCTGCCAAAACTACAAGACACATTAACCGGCTTCGTGGCTTCCTTTTTATGCCGTTAAAAAGCGGTTACCAGGACCAATCTACCCGCCGTTGGATGATAGCGTGTGTAATTTACTGCGAGCGTCTTCCCTCGGATCTTGCTTTTCAGCTGCTCCAGAGAGATTGCAAAGCTGGGCTGAAGGACAATCCTCAGCTGGCAGAAGGGTGATCAAAGCCCTCGGTGCGTACGACATATTGCAGGGGATAAATGTTGGACACCGCGTGCTTCAATCGATTTTACCAGGGTCTTGTGGATGGATGTGGTTGGTTCACTTGGCCTAGCTAGGGAATCCCGTACTTCAAGGGGGAGGCGGCTTGTTTTCTCAAAATGAAGAACATGGAATCGTAAATGGAATTCCAGGGGTCCCGTTACCCGCTCTCCCAAATCCTTCTGTTTTCTGGGGTGTAGGGTGGTA